GACGGGCAAGACCCTCATCTCAAAAAAAAAAAAAAAAAATTTACAGATAAAACTAACAGTTCCCTTGGAAAATCCTTTTACCGCTCTCATTGCCCTCCAACCTGGGGGATGAGAGGGCAAGTCTCTCCATGTGGGATAAAAGTACGGCGTCGCCAGCGCGTGGCTCATGCCTGTAATCCCAGCCACTTTGGCGAGGCTGAGATGGGCAGAGCATCCTGAGGTTGGAGTTCAAGGACCACTGACCAAACATGAGAAACCCGTCTCTCGAAAAAAAAAAAAAAAAAAAAATTAGCCGGTTGTGGGCATATCCTTGTAATCCTAGCATACTTCAGGAGGCTGAGGCAGGAGAATTGCTTGAACCTGAGAGCAGAAGTTGCAGTGAGCGAGATCGTGCCATATGCCTCCGAGCCTGGCAACTAGGAGTGAAAACTGCCTCTCAAATTAAAAGAAAAAGACATTAATAATAGGCATAGCATATAACTACGCATACCGGAAGCAAAGAGCGTAACACTCAGAAGACGCAGTCTCCTATTAGTCCTTGACAACTCCTTATACGCAGCCCGCGACACAAGGCTCTCACGCGTCGTGTGCCTTGCAGATTGGCTACACTCTAATGGTGTCATGCCTCTTGACCTGGAAAGAATACGCAAAAGCACTTCGCTCGCGCGCGTCTGTTCATGCGCGCAAGGCTTCCCAGGATGTGACCATCCCACCTCCTCTCAGGTCTGGCATCCGCAATGGGGCAACATTCCGTGTCGCCAATGGTGGTCAGTTGGTATGGTTTCTTGTTTTCGTCTCACTTAATGTCTTATACTTGTGTGGTGGTATATGTAAGAGAGGTTTCCTCATTGATTCTCATGTGACTGTAGTTAAGCACCACCGCTCGCCCTGAAGCCGATTGAGCTACTCGCTCGCCCGTGTCTGATCAACCAGTAGGGTCTGGCAGCTACGCGAATGGCGCTGTAAGCGTGGCCCTCCCACTAGAGCGCCAAGACACGAGCTCCACCTCCTGGGTTCCACGTCGTGGTCTGTGCCCCACTGCCATGTCGTGCAGTCGCCTGTCATGCCTCGGCACCGGGGACTGATGCCTATACGCTGGGCGCGTTCGCTGAGAGCGTACCCTGACCGGGAAGCCCAGCCAATGACTGATCTCGCTGGTTGCTTACTCTCAGCAGCCTCACCTTCTAGGGAAGGCCACAGGTACGAGATACCAATGAACAAAATTGTAGTTGAGAACTGAGACGCAGGATGGTGTTTCAGGTCCTGTGTTAGCCAGATCTGGTGAGCCCCGCCGAGCACGAGACAAGGGCAAAGTGAAGGGAAGTGGCTGCTGAGGCCGCTGCTTTAGGTTGAAGCAGTCTCAATCTCCTGACCTCGTGATCCCGCCCGTCTCGGCCTCCCAAAAGTGCTGGGATTACAGGTGTGAGCCACCCGCCCCGGCCTGTTTTTTATCTTTTTTGAGGACAGGGTCTCACTCTGTCACCCAGGCTGGAGTGCAGTGGCCGCGATCTCAGCTCACAGCAATCTCCGCCTCCGGTTTCAAGCAATTTTCTGCGCTCAGCCTCCCGAGTAGGTGTGGATACAGGCACCTGCCACCACGCCCGGCTACGTTTTGTATTTTAGCTAGAGACTGGGTTTTGCCCATGTTAGCCAGGGCTGGTCTCGAATCCTAACCTCAAAGGATCTGCCCACTTCGGCCTCCCAAAAGTGCTGGGATTACAGGTGTGAGCCACCACACCCCTGCCCAGACACTGCTTCTTGCCTGGTTCCCTCTTGAAGTTAATGGCTGGTCTTCTTCAGGTTTTCCTGCTGTTCCACATGATTGTGCCAAGCGAGACAGGGTCCAAGGGTGTGTGGCCAGGCAGCGGATCAGGCCCCTGCTTTGCCATGGTTACGCAGGTCGCCTCACCCCGGTCAGATGGCTTTAAATCCTTTCTGGCCTCAGTTTTGTTCATTTGAAAATGTGGGTTAATGCCATCTGCCTCTGGGGCTTTTGAGAGTTTGTGACGAAGTGGATGTAACATGCCTTCTTGTGCAGAGCAAGGCCTCCGGGAGCCCTGCTGCTGTTCCTGTCACTCAGGCTGGAGTGAGGTGGTGTGATCTCAGCTCAACACAACCTCCACCTCCTGGGTTCAAGCGATTCTTGTGCCTCAGCCTCCTGAGTAGAAATGCATGGAGAGAAGCAGAGCTGAGAGGACAGAAACTCAAATCATAGCCATGCCTGAAGATATGATTTCAAATCAAATTTCACGATATGATTTGGCTCAAATCAAATCAAGATACGATTTGAGTGCCTGGATCTAGCCATGCTGAGGTACTTCTACATTTTTCAGATACACGAAAAAAATCAACTCCCTTTTTTTTTTTTTTTGGGTTGCAATTTGGAGATGAATTGCCCAATTTGCACTCCAGCTGGACAACCAAAAGTGGAAAACCCTGTTCTAAAAAAAAAAAATTTTAACTAATGATCCTGCCATTTACTTTCAAATGGTT